TGCCAGGATTGTATTCTTTTATCAGTCTGTACATTGAGAAAATACTCTTGAGAAGCTGGATAATATGAAAAACAATATGGCATAAGGATTAAAGGAAGACTACAATATGCAGATAATACAATCTTGCTTGCTGAAAGCAAAGAGGATTTAAAATACCGATGAGGATCAGACTACCCCATTGTAAAGACAATAAAAATTCTCACAATTGAAACTGAAACCAGTAAATAACATCATAATTTTTTGTTGTTGTGAAGTGCTGTGGACTTGGTTCTGACCCATAGCGACCCTGTATAGGGTTCCCAAGGAGCAGCTGGTGAGCTTGAACTGCCGACATTACAGTTCAAACGGCTTGCAGTCTGGCGCACATCATCATGCACGGAGAAAACTTTGAAGTTGTAAAAACTTCATTTTGCTTGGATCCACTATCAACACTTAAGGAAACAGCAATCAAGAAATCAACTTACTGCAGTAGGCAAGATACAAGAGCAAAAAGATCAGTTTGAGGACTAAGGTGTGCTTGACTCAAGCCATGATATTTTCATAGCCTCGTATGCATGTGGAAGTTGGACAATGAATATGGAAGACCTTAGAACAATTGATGCATTGTTTTGTGGTGTTGGAAAATAATATTGAAAGTACCTTCTACTGCTTGAAGGAGGAACAAATCTGTCTTGGAAGTCCAGCCAGAATGTTCTTTAGAAGCAAGAATGACGAGACATACTTCGGACATATTGTCTATCATGTTGTTGTTGTTAAGTGCCATTGAGTTGGTTCCAACCCATAGCAACCCTGTATAGGGTTTCTAAGGAGCAGCTGGTGAGCTTGAACTGCTGACCTTGCAGTTCAAATGGCTTTGCAATCTGGCACATTAACCCACAGCGCCACATCTGGAGGGACCATTTCCTGGAGAACATTATGCTTGATAAATTGGAGGGTCAGTGAAAAAGTAAAATGACCCCAACAAGATGGATTGACGCAATTGCAGCAGCAATGTATTTGAACTTTAGAATCAGCTTTTTCCTCCAACAAATTCTCTTGGTATTATTAATGGGAACCCACTAAAAACTAGAATTTACAGAATGGACATCTTTGTAATGGAGATCTCCGTACTCACGGACACAGTGGGTTCCTGCAAGTCATTTTAGAGAGATGATGCATGCAAGTTAATTTCAGTGCTAGACATTTTACATCTTGTTGCTGCAAATAGAGTCTTTTCTTCCACTGTCCTTTTTAATTTTTTACGTGTCATTTACTTTTTATTCTTACTAATTTTTTTAGCCTATCCCTTTACCCATGTTCTCATGTGTTTACCCTCTAGAAATTGATTCACCCTTCCTTCCTCCTTGTACCCTAAGATTATGGCTAAGAAGTTTTCATAACTTTGCCCCCTGTATGTTCTGCTATAACAAAATCAAACCCAACTCACTATGGTCAATTTGATTCTAACTCATAGTAACCCTATGTTGTTGTTGTTAAGTGCCGTCGGGTCGGTTCCGACCCATAGCGACCCTGTACAGGGTTTCCGAGGGTGTAAATCTTTACGGGAGTAGTAGAAAGCCTCATCTTTCTCCCGCGGAGCGACTGGTAGTTTCGAACCGCTGACCTTAAGGTTCGCAGTCCGATTCGTAACCACTACGCTACCAGAGCTCCTTTAGGAAACAGTATAATTGCTCTATAGGGTTTCTAAGGCTATAAATCTTTAGGGAAACCTACTATCTCGTCTTTCTCCTGTGGAGCAGCTAGTTATTTTGAACCACCAACCTTTTGGTTAGCAGCTCAGTGTTTAACCTGTTATGCCACCAGAGCTTTTATGCTCTATTGAATAAACTTGCAGCATATAAAAATACTAGAAATTGTTAAGTGCTGCCAAGTTGGTTTCAACTCATAGCCGCCCTATATAGGGTTTCTGAGGCTTTAAATCTCTGGAAGCAGAAAACCTCGTCTTTCTCCCTCAGAGCAACTGATGGGTTTGAAGCACCAGCTTGTGGTTCACAGTCCAGTGCTTATTGTATGGAGCCACTGACTTCCCATATTTAGAAATCTCTGCCAAACCACAGATCCTCTGTTAAAATAAGATATACCTGTATCACCCCTAGTACTCACACCCTGCTCCTGGGACAGTAGTCATAGTGTTCCTTCTAAGCTATCTGCCAGCTCCTGTAGCCAGAGCAGATCAGGAGGTATCAGGCGGTGGGTTCAATCCACCACATGTTACATTCACCACATGTAACAACACAGCATTAAAGGTCTGGGTGATTAGGCTAAACCATGACCCAGAGCATGTCAGAGTAGTAGGGTGTAAGTTCTGAGGGGCTGGTGTGGAGTGAGTAGAACCAGACAAAATCAGCAGTCAGCTAGAAGAGGTTGTGGATAAAGGGTTGTGGTACCTACACACAATGGAAAACTGCAACATTAAAGAAAAGGGACCAAGTTACAAAACACCTCATAAAATGGCTGAATTTGGAGGACATGCTGCTGAGTGAAAAAAAAGTCAAGCACAAAATGACAAATATGGTATGGTGCTACTATTATGAAAAGGTAAGAAAAGGATTGTACACTATAAGAAACTCTCTGATGGTTACCAGGGGCAAGGAGGAAGGGAGGGTGAATCAATTTCTAGAGGGTAGACACATGAGAATTTGGGTGAAGGGGAAAGCTAAAAATTTAATAAGAATAAAAAATAAATGACATGGTAAAAAAAAAAAGGATAGTGGAAGAAAAGACTCTTTGCTGCAGCAACAAGATGTAAAACGTTTAGCACTGAACTTAACCTACGTGCATCACCTCTGTAAGAAGATGACTTGCAGGAACCCATTGTGTACCATCAGTTGCTCATATGGAAAATCAAACTAAAAGCTGAAGAAAATGTAAACAAGTCCAAAATATGACCTTTAATATATCCCACCTGAATTTAGAGATCATTTGAAGATCAGATTTGATACATTAAAGACCGAAGACCAGAAGAGTTGTGGATGACATCAAGAACATCATACAGGAAGAAAGCAAAAAGTCATTTAGAACAGAAGAAAGAAGGAAAAGGTCAAAATGGATGTCAGAAGAGACACTGAAACTTGCTTTCCAGTGTAGAGATGCTAAAGCAAATGAAAGAAATGAGGTCCAAGAGCTGAACAGAAAATTTCAGAGATCGGCTCGAGAAGATAAAGCCAAATATTACAACAAAATGTGCAAAGATCTGGAGTCAGAAAACCAAAAAGGAAGAACACGCTCAGCATTTCTCAAGTTGGGGTAACTGAAGAAAAAAATTAAGCCTTCACTTTCATTATTGAAGGATTCTCTGAGCAAATTGTTGCAGATGCAGAAAACACTAAAAGAAGATGAAAGGAATACACAGAGTCACTGTACCCAAAGGAAATGGTTGATGTTCAACCATTTCAAGAGGTAGCATATGATCAAGAGCCAATGATACTAAAGGAAGAAGTTCAAGATGCATTAAAGGAATTGGCAAAGAACAAGGCTCCAGGAATTGATGGAATACAAATTGAAATCTTTCAAGAAAGTGAGGCACAATACAGAAGGCACTCAATCATCTCTGCCAAGAAATTTGGAGACAACTAACTGGCCAACTGATTGGAAGAGATCCATATTTGTGCCCATTCCAAAGAGAGGTGACCCAACAGAATGAATGCGGAAATCATCGGACAGTATCTTTGATATCCCATGCGAGTAAAGTTTAAAAGTAATACAGATATGGCTACAAGCATACATTGGCAGAGAATGTTCAGAGGTTCAAGCTGGATTCAGAACAGGCCGTGGAACGAGGGATGCCATTGCTGATATTGGATGGATATTGGTTGAAAGAATATCAGAAAGATGTTTACATGTGCTTTATTGACTATGCAAAGGCTTTCGATTGTGTGGTTTAGGAGACTAAACCATTTGCTATGGAGTTGATTTCCCTGGGGACATCGGATGTCAGAGTAGAGTTGTGCTCATTCGGTTATGAATGTCTGATTTTTCAGAAGTAAACCACCAAGCCATTCTTCCGAGGCATCACTGAGTGAATATTTTGTTAGCAACCAAGCACATGAATTTTTTGTGCCACTTTGGGGCTTTCAGCTCTTAATATCAGTGTTGAAACTGCAGTCATGGGTGTCCTCATTGGTGAAGTGACAGATTACTTGAGAAGGACAGGCCAATTTAGAAACCATTCCAAACCATTAGGAACTTTGTGATCAGGATGATGTCATAAAGGGGGAAAGAATTTGAAAATGGTTATCTGGCACAACAAAGTTGAACCTTTGCTTCACACCTTAAGCCAAAGTAAATTCCAGTCAGATCAAAAATTATTTTTAACAGTTTATTGTTTTAGTAATTAATCATCAATTAATTAATAAAAACATGAAACATTTTCTGATGTGATTAGAGAAGGAGAAAGCCTTTCTAAGTTTGCTACTAAACTCAGATGAGAACAGAAATGTTAACCTTGATTATACTTTTAAAGAAAAGATTAACTTCCTGTAGTCAAAAGATTCTAAGTAGAAAGTTCAGTTCACTCCCAAAAAGATAAATGCCTCAAATTGATGACACTGATCAAGCATAATGGAAAATGGGCAAAGAATGTAAGTCAGTCAGATCTGAAAAGAAAACTGGCTCTTAAAGATAGGACAAAATTCTCGGTCTCATCTATAATAAAGCTTTAGCCTTTGTCAATGACAGAGATGGTACCTTCTTCAGCAGCAGAAGGCAAGCTAGACATGCCCCCTGTCCTTGTGAGGCCTGTGGTTGCCTTCCTGGGTATACAACCCAAACCTTGCCAGGCAAAAAGCCACAATTACTGTGTCCACCACAGCTGTATCTGGTACACGACCCAAACCTTGCCAGGCAAAGATCCACAAATACTGTGCCCACAGCTGTATCTGGTATGCCCTCTCCCACTAAGTTGGTGTCGAGTTTCTTTACTGCTCTGCATGTTCTTGCTCTCTGTTCTGTGCTCCCATTGCATGCATGTAACTCCAGTCCTTTGTCTCTTCCCTTTGCAGAGGCATGTTTGCTGGGGGACTGAAAGAGATGGAGCAGGAGGAGGTGCTGATCCACGGCGTGTCCTATAATGCTATGTGCCAGATCCTGCATTTTATATACACCTCTGAGCTTGAGCTCAGCCTGAGCAACGTGCAGGAAACATTGGTGGCTGCCTGCCAACTTCAGGTGAGCTGCGCCCTGAGTGGTCAGGGCAGACCTGCCTTCAGGCAGGGTTCCCTAGGTGTCCACTGGACTGTGGCATTGGTATGAGGGTTGGTGGATCAGGAGGGCCAGAGAGGAGAATGAAGATGGGAGGAATGGGGAGTAAGTGATTTCTCATTTGGGAACGAGAGGGTGAGCAGTAGGCCTCAGCCAGCCCTGGAGCTGATGCTAAGCCACCCCAGATTCCCTGGGCCCAGACTTCTTGTCTGCTATTGCCCTCCTTTTACTTAATTCCTTGCCCTCTGTGCTGGGCTTTCCCTACCACTGGAAAGGTCCCACACAGAAAACATTGGCCAACTCTGTGTCATCATGCACTGCCTCCTTTGTGCTCTGGCTGTGGCAACATGAAGGTGTCCTAGGCATTGCCTCATGGTCCCTCTGCTTGTCTGACACCTTTGATCTTTCTCAAATGGTCTTTCCCATAGAACTTTTAATTATTTGTTTTCCTGCAGACTTCAGAACATAATCTGAGGACTAGTTAGTCTGACTTACATTTTAGAAGTTTCTGTTTAAGCTTGCCAGTGTTGGTACAATTACAGGGCCTGCAGGTGCCGTTGCTCTAAGAGCTGCCAGTCAGATGACATCTCTCCACATTTCTTAAACTGTCCATTATTCTGACCTTTTTACAGGTCAGAGTGCCTTTGGGCTGTAAAAATGGCAGAGAGGGGGTGGAGGAAGAAGAAAATCATCAGCATCAACAGTTTAAAGTTTGTTCCTATAGACATCAGACATACCTCTTCTTTCTAACCTTTCCACCAATCCTGACACCAACCATCCCTTTTATGGCATTCTTCATTTCACTGCTGAGCTAGACAGTCAATTGCAGTGCCCACACAGAATTTACAGACCATACTCACAGTTGTAATAGGTTACAATTCAGGATAAGGAGCCATTCAAGACAGCTTTTTGACCAGGACCGCTTCTCAGCCAGGCCCATAGGTAAGCCTTTTTCTGGGCCTTGGGGCCAAGTCCCAGACTCAGCCCAGCTCATGCAAGTGTTACAGAGTTCTTTAGCTCTACAATAAGTGTTCAGGAGCACCACACTCTTCCAAGAAACCTCCTATATCTTGGTAGTATAGTGAGGCTCCCGGTCTCTGCCACTGGAATAGCTCGTTTTAATCCTAGCAAGATGACAAAACTGACTAATCTTCGTAGAATTCCATATACTTTACATGGCTCCATCCCCACAAGAATGCCGTTCACCTTATTTGCAATAATAGCCAACTGTCCAATCCCTTTTGTAGACCAAAAGGACATTATTAGCATGGTCCCTCTCACCCAGTCCTTTGGTGGAGTTATAAGACCATTATGAGAAAGGCCATATAAAAGTTATCCATCATACCACCTGGGCAGTTAGCAGAATCTCAAATCACAGAAAAACCAACTTCTCAGGGATCCCTAGAGACCCTATTCCACATGGCAGGGTGGCAGTCGCCCCTGCTTCACCCTCTTCATATTGTTAGGAAGGAGGCCTGGGTACATGCTTTAGGCATAGCTATCTTCTCTAGCAATAGCTGCAGCAGTACATTGACAGAGAGCTGCCAGAGATCCAAGTTGGATTCAGATGAAGATGTGGAAAGAGGGATATCATTGTTGATGTCAGATGCATCTTGGCTGAAAGCAGAGAATATCAGAAAGATGTTCACCTGTGATTTATTGACTATGCATAGGCTTTCGTATGTGTGAATCATGTCCAGCTATGGACAACATTGCAGAGAATGAGTATTCCAGAATATTTAATTGTGCTCATGAGGAACCTGTACATAGACCAAGAGGCAGTTGTTCAAACACAACGAGGGAACACCAAATGATTTAAAATTAGGAAAGATGTGCATCAAGGTTGTACTCTATCACCATACATATTCAATCCAAGAAGTTGGGTTATATGAAGAAAAGCATGGCATCAGGATTGGAGGAAGACTCGTTAACAACCTGCAATATACTGATGTTGCAACATTGCTTGCTGAAAATGAAGAGGACTTAAAATACTGATAAAGATCAAAAACCACAGCCTTCGGTATGAGTTGCACCTCAGTGTAAAGAAGACAGAAATCTTTATCACTGGACCAGTAAATAACACCCATATAAAAGAAGAAAAGATTGAAGTTTTCAAAAGACTTCATTTTGCTTGGATCAATCATTAACACTCATGGAAACATCAGTCCAGAAACCAAATGACATACTGCATTAGGCAAATCTGCTACACAAGACCTCTTTAAATTGTTGAAGAACAAAGTTGTCAGTATGAGGACTAAAGTTCTCCTGACCCAAACCGTGGTATTTTCAGTAATCTCATATGCATGTGAAAGTTGGATAGTGAATAAGGAGGACAGTAGAAGAATTGATACATTTGAGTTATAATGTTGGATGAGAATATTAAAAGTACCATGGAGTGCCAAAGAGCAAACCAATCTGTGTTGGAAGAAGTACAGCCAGAATGCTCTTTGGAAACCAGGGTGGTCAGATATCTCCTCTCATACTTTGGATATATTGTCAGGAGGGACCAGTCCCTGGAGAAAGTGGAGGGTCAGAGGGAAAAAAGCAAGACCTTCTTCTAGATGAATTGGCACAGTGGCAGCAACAATGGACTCAAACACAGCAGCAATTTTAAGGTTGGTGCAGGACCATGCAGTATTTCATTGTGTTTTGACTCCTTGGTACTTAACAACAATATCCTCTCCAGCATTGTGGAGAATGAATATTCTGAAACACTTAATTGTACTCATGAAGAACTTGTACATAGACCAAGAGGCAGTCGTTCGAACACCACAAGGGATCACTGAATGGTTTAAAATCAGGAAAGGTGTGCATCAGGGTTGCATTCTTTTACCATACTTATTCATTCTGTATGCTTGAACAAAAATCCAAGAAGCTGGATTATATGAAGAAGAATGTGATGTCAGGATTGGAGGGAGACTTGTTAACAGTCTGTAATATGTAGATGATGCAACCTTGTTTGCTGAAAGTGAAGAGGTCTTAAAATATTTACTGATGAAGAGCAAAGACCACAACTTAAAAAAAAAACCACATAAAAGTCCTCATGACTGGACTAATAAATCATGATAAACATAGAAACAATTAAAGTTGTCAAAGACTTTATGTTGCTTGGATCCACCATCAACATTCATGGTATTTTCAGTAGCCTCATATTGCATCTCAATGTAAAGAAAAGCCTCACCACTGAACCAATAAACAATATCCATATAAATGGAGAAAAGAATGAAGTTGTCAAAGACTTCATATTACTCAGATCGACTGTCAACACTCATGGAAGCAACAGTCAAGAAATCAAACAACATATTGCATTAGGCAAATCTGCTACACAAAAAAACTCTTTAATCTATTGAACACAAAGATGTCAGTTTGAGAACTAAGGTATGCCTGACCTAAGCCATGGTATTTTCAGTAACCTCATATGCATGTGAAAGTTGGACAGTGAATAAGGAAGACCATAGAAGAATTGATACATTTGAGTTACGGTGTTAGAGGAGAACATTTAAAGTACAGTGGAGTGTCAAAAGAACAAAACAATCCATGTTGGAAGAAGTATAGCCAGAGTGCTCCTTGGAAGTCAGGATGACCGGCATCATCTGTCATACCTCAGACCTATTATCACGAGGGACCAGTCGCTGGAGAAGGGTATCATGTTTGGTGAAGTGGAGGGTCAGAGAAAGACAAAGAACCCCAACGAGATGGATTCACACAGTGGAAGCAGCAGTGAGCTCAGGTGTATCAATGATTGTGAGGTTGGCTCAAGACCAGGCATTGTTTCGCTCTGTAGTCTATAGGGTTGCTATGAGTTAGTATTGACTCAATGGCACCTCACAACAACAACAAAGCAAAAATATGCTCAAGCACAGGACTGTGCAGTATCTCCTTTACTTGTACATAGGATCACTATGTGTGGGTACCGACTCTAAGACACCTAACAACAACACAGCCACAATCCTCTCCATGCTTGTGTTTGGTAGTGGAGTTAAGCCAAGGTGGCCTTTATAATAGAAAATTTTCTTGCATTCTTTTTTCAGATACTTCTTTGTCCCTAAAACCAAAAGTCCACCAGTTGTTGTTGACATCTCAAGTGTATTAGAGTAGTACTGTGTGCCACAGAATTTTTTTGCACTGGAAATAGTTTGCCAGATTTTTTTTTTTTTTTAAGCAACTCTGGGTGGGGTTGAACCTCAGCCTTTCAGTTAGTAGTCAAGTGCTTAACTGTGTGCACTACCCAGAACCTTCTGTCTCCACTATCCTGTGTTTTTAGCTTTGAAAATTCTCGTCTGATTATCTATGTAACATTTCTTCCTTATTCAGCTGCTTCCATAGCAGCAATCCCCAGAAACCCACGATCAGCAGGCTTAGGACAGGCTGTCTAGCTCCTCCAGCCTGATCACTCCACTGCTGCTTCCTGCCACCTTCCTTGTTCACTCACAGAATGGCACTTCTACCAGGGTTCTGGGTCCCAAACTTCAACATCATCTTGAACCCCTCCATCTTCATTCCTTGAATCTAGGTGGTGACAAGGCAACCAGAAAAGTCAGGAGTTCAAACCCACTGGCTCCTCCATGGGAGAAAAGATCTGGTGATCTGTTCCCATAAAGATTTCAAGACCTAATAAACACACTGCCATAGAGTTGTTTCCAACTCATAGTGACCGTATAGGTCAGAGCAGAACTTTCCCTTACAGTTCTAAAACTGTCAATCTTTACAGAAGCACACTGTCTCCTGATGAAGCAGCTGTTGGGTTCAAACCACCAATCTTTTGGTTAGCAGCCCCGTGTTTAACCCACTGCACCACCAGTGTTCCTCTCATAAAAATTATAAATCCTAGGAAACCCTATGGTGTAATTCTATACTGTGCGATAGGGTCAAGATCAGGAGCACACAGCATCAAGAGTTTGGGATTTTTTGTTTTTTAACTTTTTGTAAACTGGATAAAGGTTTAGAAAGCAATCAGTTTTCGTTTA